CCCCTCCCTGGTGTGCACGGGACGTGGTGACTTGGCTTTGGATCCGCAGTCTCGTTGGCAGACCCTACCGGCTCTCCCTGGCGGGCTGCGGTGCTGTGAGCGGTGCTAACGGAGTGGCCCACGCGGCAGGGAACTGAATGACGCCTCCCACCCGCAGCCGGCGAGGAACCACGGTCCCAGTCCAGCAACTTACTGGCAACCGTGCAGACTTGGAGCAGATGCCTCCCCGGCTGGACCTGCCGCTGAGACGCCCACCCCCGCCCAACGCTTGGCAGCTTTGGGCCAGACTCAGCAGCAGAGGGCCCGGTTCGCCGTGCCTTGACGCCTGACACAGAAACTGGAAAAATAAACGTGTTGTTTTAAAAAGCTAAGATTGCAGTTACGTTATGCAGAATAGATAACGAATACAATGTTTTTGGTTGTTTTGTTTTTCAATTGGAACTTCTTTTTCTTTTCCCCTTTCACAATGTTTTGAGTTCTTAATTTTATTTATTTTTTTCCCTAGTTCTCAAATTTATGTTTGGTGCTTTTGAGAATCTGCAGGTATGTTTTTTAGTTTGCAATACTGTAATGTAATTTTCAATGCTTTATCTCCTTTTGAACAATGCAAACATTAAAGTCTGTTTCACTATCCAAATATTTGGTACCCCTTTGGGTGTTTCTATTGTCTATTCATTTCTGCTGGTTTTCATTCTTGTTCTTTCTCTTCCTGTGCTGTTATTATATGGAGATATTGAATTAGAAGCTGTTGGGCCCCGGCTGGTGTGTCTCAGTGGATTGAGCACCAGCCTGTTAACTGAAAGGTCGCTGGTTCAATTCCCAGTCAGGGCACAAGCCTGCATTGGAGGCCAGGTCCCTGGTCAGGGGCATGTGAGAGGCAGCAAACTGATGTTTCTCTTCCACATTCATTTTTCTCTTCTTCTTTCTCCTTCCTTTCCCCTCTCTCTGAAAATAAATAAAATCTCTTTTTTAAATCATACTCTTTCCCCCCCCCAAAGATTTTATTTATTTATTTTTATACAGAGGGGAAGGGAGAGAGGCAGAGAAACATCAGTGTAGTTGCCTCTTGCACGCCCCCTACTGGGACCTGGCTTGCAACCCAGGCATGTGTCCTGACTGGGAATCAAACCTGTGACCTTTTGGGGGTGTGACCTTTTGGTTTACAGACCAGCAATCTACTGAGCCACACCAGCCAGGGCAAAATAAAATCTTTAAAAAAAAACAAACCTGTTTTTAGAAATAATATGAGGCCTAAAAGAAGGTTTTCTCCAGATTTGCAACATTCAGGTTCCTCATGCATTAGTTAATCCATGTTTAACATTTCAGATTTTTCTGAGCTATGTAGGTGACTCAATTCTAAGCTAACCACTATGTGAATGGTTTACTTCTGGTTCACCCCTCCCCGAAGGATGTGGCTTTTCACCTTCGGGTTCTCAAACCAAGTGATTCCCCCAGAGTCCCAGCCTTGGAGGTCTCACATTCTGACTTCTGTTCTCCTACTCCTACAAAGCTGTGAAATGCCGCTTATTCTGTCAGCTCCTCTTCTTTGTTAACAAATCATCCTTCAGAGCAAAAGTGGGACCAATAGAGGCTTACCTCTCTGGATTTCTATTTTCTTCCAGATATCAGTCTGCCAATCAGTTTACCTTGTTAGCTCCTCAATGCCTTCAACTTCGTGTTTCCAGATAATCTAATTAACCATTCAGGGAAGCAAAAATCAAAAGACGCTTTTGTTTGTTTGTTTTTAACAGGTCACGTTGTGGCTGTGGCCAGTCTGTTTCTGAGCCTCCACCTGGGCCCTCCCTAGTCTGAGAGGGACCAAGCCTACAAGCGCGTCCTAACCCTCCTTCCACAGCTGGGGAGTGTGGTGCTGGAGACAGGCTCAGGGGTAGAAAGGGAAACTACATACCCAGCATAGTGTCCAAATATTCTCGGGTTGCTGATCTTAGTTCTCTAACAATGGACAAAGCATCTCCCAACCTCCCAAGTGCACTCTCAAAACAAAACAAAAATCCGGATTCCCTCTGCTCTTCATGCCACACAAGAGGACCAGGAGTCCATGTACTTTGCCAGATAACTTCACATATCATCCCCTTCACTCAAAAAAAAAAAAAAAAAAAAAGAAAGTTTCATTTAATTATCTCAAATGAAATTGAATTCTTCCGAACTCCCCATTACTATAATGTTTGTTGTTGGAAAATTGAGATTTCTAAAGCCTAAAAAGTAATTGTAAAGATTGGGTTTACCTCCAGTAACACCAGATCTTAATAGCTATTTGGATCTCAAGGGTCATAAACTCAACGCTTCAGAAATCACTTACCAGAAATGAGTGAGGTCTGCCCACTGATGTTCACTAAGGAGAAGGAAGCAGCAGGGGGACTGTGACGAACTGCAGGGAATATTTCCCTCTAATGCCGCGGTCCCCAACCTTTCAGGCACTAGGGGCCAGTTTCCGGGGAGACAAGTTTTCTACAGACTGGGAGGCTGGGGGAGATGGTTCCCGGGTGATTCAAGAGCAGGACGTTCAAGCTCACCTCCTGCTGTGCGGCCTGGTTCCCAGCAGGCCCCGACCCGTACCTCTGCGGGTCCAGAGGTTGGGGACCCCCGCAAAGGGATCCAATATAATTTCCAGCTCTGGTCTATTCTAAACATGCGAGAATATAAACCTGGAGTTGCCAGATCTTACAATTTTTCAAAAGAATTTGAAATGTGACTGAGAGAGGTTTTATAACCTCTTTTAATGTTGACAACGAAAACAAACCCCCACAATGTGTGAGGTAAAGGTGAAAGGGAGAATCGAAGCTCAACTGCTAAACTAAATAACCCCGGAGCCCCGGCCGGCTGTAAATCCTGCCTCCTTCTCGAAGAAAACTTGGGAGACTTCAGGAGACCCTAACAAACTGCGTGCAGCATAAATGCTTTTAGTTCACATATATGTCAGGTTTTACCTGGATTGAAGACCCAAAGAAATACTTTCCAAGCAGATACACATCATGCAAGCTTTCATTTTCCTGAGTATAGGATGGTTTTTAGTCATTCAAACCTAGACTTAAAATAATTAAAAGGTTCTTCTTGCTCATTCGTAAAGCTCTTTGAGACACATATTGCGGTACTGCTTTTCTCTGTAATGTAAGGTGACAAAGCCACAGCAAAAGGAGTGATTCCCACGTTATGTATGTGTATCACAGCTCAAAGATGCTAAATTTCTGAATATCTTTAACACAATTTTCATAAAAACATATGAGGATGCATGTTTGAATTTAAATTTTAAAACATCAAAAGTATAATCAACTACACACTTACTGATAAATAAAAGAAAGGATGGTTACTTTTTTCTGTCTTCAGTTTTTCTAAACTGGTTGATATGAGTTTTTGCTGATTGTCTATATATCACCAAGCAAGCACTAAGGTAAACTTTCATTTACTTTGTTCAAAAACAAAGAAGATTTAAAAAAACAAATGAGGTCCTGTTCCCATATATTGACTTGGATTTCCCATCAATTCAATTCATTTCTAAAGAATGTTACACTTGCATTTTAAATCTAGTGGCAGTTCCTTTACATGATTTAAAATACAAATCATTTCCTAACTATAACCTTTTTAAAATGCAAAAGGTTAAAATAACAACTTACACATTAAACCTCAGACTAATGTACAAATTATAAAACATGAATCCATTACTGAATTTCCATGATTAACTGTAGCCTGCTAGGATGCTTTTTATTAGTTGGATTCAGTATATTAGCATTTTATTTGAGATTTCTGCATTTATAATGAAATATGCATTTAACCTACATTTTTTTAGTGATGTTTAAGAAAATATTGGAACCAGTTTGTCACACAATTTGAGTGGCATTCCAAACTTTAGGTTTGTTTCATGGAAGCTTTGAACAATGCATGGATAAACCACCTGGACACTTGTGGGGAGATGTCTTAGAAGTATTTTCATTTTCTTTATGGTCCATATTAGTTTTCCATCTTTACTTGATGAGTTAAGTATCACCAGCTTAGGGACAGCAATGGCATTTGAACTGAATCCTAAATATTTTAATTACCTAGCATTTTAAAAGCACTTTTACATGCCCTAACTCATTTAATCCTTACATTATATGAGATTTTAAGAAAACCAAAACCAAGAATGATTAACTCCAGTTGCTCGAAGTGCAGTAAGTTAAGAAATGAAAGCCCAGGTTAGGAGATACCATTTCACTCCTCCCGGTTAGGGAGCAACCCCCCCCCCCCCCCCGGCCATGCGTCACTTGTCTGTCAAGGACAAACAGGAGAGCACAGACTGCCTGGAGCGATAGGACCAAGTGCTGAGAACAGTTTCCCCAGCTTGGGAAACAGCTTCAGCAAAAGAATGAAGTGAAAGTACAGGGCGTCCTGGGTAGGAAGTAGTGGGCAAAAGATGGAATACGGATCAACACCTTGCAAAGTAAACGCTTTCAAATGCTGTTCCTTCAGTTTAGCTAGTGTTTGTGACAAATCGTCCCTAGGCTTCTACCTGAGTCTATCACTATAACTGCGACCTCTGTCTTGAAAGAGAGCAATGGAAGGAGTAAGAAATGGAGGGAAGGGAAAAGTCATCATTTGTCTTACGACTACAGCATCTAACGGGTTATTTTAAATACTTAAAATAGGAGGTTATAGAAAATGAGAAGTGTAGAGAAGCATGACCTTGCAAAGGTAATTCTTTTGTCTCACTGAAAATGTTTTGACTTAATTTTAATTCTCAGCAAGATGAAAAGATTTTACCAACTGAGAACTGATTTGGAAAGAGAGCAGAGTTCCCCAATCTTTGGAATAAAGCAAATACCACCACCTGCAATATGTTAACATTACTTCTAAGTGCTAAGAACCTAAGTTGAGTAGAATTCATCAGTTACATTATTGTTAAGTTTTAGAAAAGTCAACTCTGAAAATTCTATTATCAGGTTAACAAAAATATTTTAAAAAGGAAAAATATTAACAAAACATCTATATGTTCATTGGCATTTGAATTATCTTTTTATTCCCTTTAAACCCACTTGCAATACTAGGTACTGAACGTAGCTCAGTCAGTCTCATCAGTCAGCCATGGAGAAATAAAACTGCTTTTAAATCAACATTATTATATCTAAATCTTTCAGCATATATTTTGAATAGAATGAGAGGTCTAATCACAGAGTAACATAGGAAATATTTTTATTGTTGCTTCATTAAATGTAAGTATTCCCAAAGTTCTGAATCCACTGTTTCTTCTTAGGTTTCCAACTGCGGCGATCCGTCCTCTTTTGGTCTATTCAGTAGGAAGTGAACTATCTGAAGTAGAACATCGTCATTAAAACCTTTCACGTCATTATCTTCGATGGTTTCATAAAGAGGCTTACTCTGTGTCCCCCAGCAGAAGTTTTTACGAGTGTTATTTTGGTCGGCTTGTACAGTCAGCGCCAAAGTATTTAACTGGTAGCAGAAAAAGGAAAAGTATTTGCCATCTGTGATCACACCCTGAGAGACAAAGGGTCGTGTAACATCTGCTTCGCTCCAGAATCCTATAGAAGAAAGTTGACATTGAAATTTACACTGGAATATATTTTACCAAAACAAAGTATACACATTAGAGGGTACTGAACCGGCTAAAACCTAGATATTTTATCTACCAATTGTCTACGGACCACAAAGTCTTCCCTATCCATTGTAATCCTACATTCCACTTCTGTATCACAAATTCCTTCCTTCTAGTATCCCCAACTCATGATCCATCTAGTGGATAACTTCTATTGTCAATGGCTTTCAACTTGAATTCATTTCATGTAAGAGCAGCAAGCAGTATCCACGCAGATTTCCCTATATCTGGGATTAACAATGGCATCATTCTCCGGCTTCAAATTCCTTCAGTTTCCATACCAGTAACACCTACCATGCAATAACCACAACGGCCATTTATTTCACCAATCTACCAAAAAAAGGTATCTTCAGAAAAAGATCACCTTTTTAAGGACTTCAACCATGTCCTCAGACAATTTGGTGGATTAAATAGTAGATTAAATCACTGCTCTTTATAATTTCTCTGAAGGCCGTACCTGGGATGTGGGTTGGAAGACTGTTCATTCAGTGAACAGCGAATGCTTGTTAGGTATTTCAGAATTGGTCTTCCTTTACGTATTTCAAAACTGGCTTTATGAGTTGCTGTCATTTCACTGAGTGAGTCTCACATGGCAAGGTTTCGGGCCGCCTCACCCTAGACCGCCCAGACTTTCCGCCTGCTCTGGCAGGCTGACTGGCTTCACTATTGCGCTTTATACCCCGGCTGCCGGGACGAGGCAGCGACTTCATTTCCCCACACTCACTGCACGGCAGCCTTAGTGGAGACAGTCAACAGATGGCATTGTTAAAATATGGAATTTTGCTACAGAAAGTACTTTATCTTTCATGAATAAACAGTGCCATTTTAAGATCTTCAAGAAAGATTTCTCACTTATTTCTATTATGGAATGTAAGTATAAAGTTAAAATACATACATAAGTAAAAAGGTGAGCTTGGCAATAGATAAGTCTGTATTAAAATTCCTCCTGGGTACTTACACAGGATTAGACTAGTTACATATTGTATTACTTCCGGTCTTGTAACAAAATCCAACTGCCCCCCAGCGGGCTCTACAAGTCCTGTGATCCTGCCTCCAGCTTCCTCCCTTTCTTTGTCAGCCTTCCTGGTCCTTAAAGACTGTAAGTCTGTCCTGGCCTCGGAGGCGCACTTGCCTTTGCTTTTTCCTGAACTGTCTTCCCCACAAGCTTACACTGAGGCAGCAGCCCACTGCCACTCAGGTCTCTGTTCAAAGGCCATTTTTCCAGAGACCTTCTCTGAGTCACACTTACATTGATTCTGCGCACATCCCATCTACGCCTGTATCCCATAAACCATTCGACCCCTTATCTAGTAATTTTCTTCGTGGTATCACTACCACCTACAAATATTACCTGTTGATTGCTCTTACTCTCCTCACTATAATACAAGCTCCAGAAAAGTGGGGCTGCCCAATCAACACTTCATCTCCAAGGCCAGCAGCGCTTGGTACCTAACAAGCATTCACTGTTCATTGAATGAATAAACAATCTTCCAACCCACATCCCAGGTACGGCCTTCAGAGAAATTATAAAGAAAGGCGGTGATTTAATTCTACTATTTAATGTACCAAAGCACTTCCTTTCCTAGCTTCAGAAAGCTGCTATCGTCTACTGAGCTGATTTAGTTGGCTATATAGTCTTTAAAATCCTTGAAAACACCATCAGAAAAAAGTACATTCATGCAAAAGTGGTCAATGTAAAACATCAAATAACTACCTACATGCCACTTGCCACCTGCCAATGTAAAATACTTAATCGTGGATTTTAAAACAACTTTTTTTTGGTAATGCAAGTTTTTAAAACATAAGATTTAACCTACATTTTAACCAAGAAGATAAACTATTAAATTTTAAAATGTCTATTATCTTCCAAGAATAATGATACCATAGCTTTACCTTGATACATAGCTTGTGCTCCCGTCCAAGCAAAAAGGCTTGCGATAGCATTAGCTCTAAATACAACTTCTATCTGATCAGCACAGTTCTGTTTCAACAGTCTTTCCCTTTTTAATTTGTCAGGTAACAGGTGAAACTGGGTATGCCCGTAACAGTATGGATCTGCTGTCCTCGATCCTGAAGAGATAAAGAGAAACAGTTCACATGAAATGACACGTAAATCACCTGGAGCACATGCCCTTAGTGTTTGCTCCAAACCCATCTCTCTCTTCTGTACATCAGGTGATCAGTAGTCAAAATACACACATGGGAGGATTACATTATTTATTTATTGTACTGATTATAATAAAGTTACATTTCACACAAAAGTACGGTGTGCTAGCTATCATCAAGCCGCTCACAATGTCAGAGGATAGGTCAAAAGAATATATGTAAAATGGATTTAAAATTTCTTATTATTTCAGTTTTTTCAAACCCATTAGTCATCATAAGGAGCTAGGTTATTTTCCTTATCATATCCTTCAAAGGATACAAACATTTCATAACTTTAAAGACTTACTTTATTACTTTAATAATTATATCCCTTCTTCCTAATAAAAATAAATGACTTTTCCACTATATTTCTTTTTTTTTATCCTTATCCAAGGACATGCTTATTGATTTTTAGAGAGAAGGGAAGGAAAAAAAGAGGAAGAGAAACATCAATATGTTGCCTTTCGTAAGTGACCTGACCAGGGACTGAACCTGCAACCCAGGCACACATTTTGACTGGAACTGAACTCACAACCTTTTTGGTTTGCAGGATAAAATAAAAAGTATAACCAGCTGAGCCACTCAGCCAGGGCTATACTATGTTTCTGAGTAAAGAAAATAATGGCCAATATTTTATTAAAGGCTGACATGCTTGACTTTACTGGTAAAGTCAAAAGTCTGCCATAAGTCACTCTCTCAAACTACAGTGACTAAGAACAGGCTGATAAAATAAGTCTGGAGGACTACTTTAAGCTGCTTTTAAAAAATGTCCTACAAGTTGGCTAGAACTGACAGATGAAGAAAAAACAGCAAAAGAATAAACTGCATAAGGGCAGACGCCAGGCCTTATTCATTTTATGTTCCTAATGGTTATCACACCTTGTGAGAAAAACAGGAAACTTCTGTAAAACCAGCCAATCAGTGTGTCTAAAGTCTAGTTCTATACTTTTTATTTTTAAACAAACCACAAATTATTGTAATTTTTCTATATAATAGATCAACAAAGCTTAACAGGTACAACTTTTTTAAAGTTAAATATCGCTAAATTCAGTAGAACCAAGTAAAATTTTAAGTGGTGAGCTGAAAGAATATTCTCTTTCCAATTTTCAGGCATACTGTAACTATTTGAGACTATGAATTATATTGCTCATGGACTATATAAACCTTTGGCCATCAGGAACTAATTATGCAAATTTGCACAAGGCACCTGGGACACATTTATGGCATAATACATCAAAAGAGAAACTTACCAATAAATATGGTATTTTCATATTGTCGTTTGAACAACGGGAGTTTGTCTGGCTTACAATTCATAACAGGGATTTCTATAGGTACAGAATAATCCAGCGGCACAAACTTAAAGAAAAAGTAGTAAGTGAATTCACAACAACGCTAGTATATATTTTACTCACATTCTTAATAGATTTAAAAATCTTAAATTGAGATGTTTTTGTAAAATGATAACACTACCATCTAATGATGGGCCAAATCCAGCCAACAACCAGTTTCTACAAATAAAATTTTATCATAACACTACCATGCACATTCATTTACATATGGTGCATGGCTGTAAGAGCTGAGATGAATAGTTGCAACTGAGACCTACAGCCCCCAAAGCCTAAAATACTTGCTCTCTTAATTTTTACAGAAACAAAAAAGGGCCTATCTGACACAGACACAGACAATACACTTGTTTTCGCCAAAGGAACTGTAAATACATAAAATGACCAGTGTATAACTGTAATAAATGCCTTAATTTATGATTAGGTGGTGTAGGTACTGTAAATTACAACACAATGATAAATAATCATCAGCTTCTTGTATTTTCACATTAAGGAAAAAAAAGAAGATTTGTATGTTCCTGAAAACTGATGCATTAACCTCACTTAAAATGATCATTTGACCTTTGGGGAATATATATATATATATATATATATATATATATATATATATATACACCATTGCAGGTTAAAAAGCTGAAAAAGAATTTCAGACAAGATGTACTTGAATGAAACTCAAAAGGCAAGACACCCATCCAAAAATTTTTATTTTGTCAAGTCCTTCACTTGCCTGCTTATGACATTTCCCCATCATCAGACAGCAAGAGGTACACATGCAATAAATCCTTACCTCTGGGAGTTGTTTGGATATTCGAATCTGGTTGTGTGGTGTATCATTTATTTGGTATCTCAAGGTATCAACTCGACCTTTCCGATGACCATGGCGAATCGTCTCTTCACCACGCCACCAGTAAAAGTGAACTGGACGTTTACAATCTATCAAGAGATATTCAAAACATTATCACTTAGATCAATTTGGTTATTAGAATACTAAACTTAGCAATATAGAACTCAAAAATGATTGTCCTAATCAAAAGTGTCAAAGTCACTCCCTGATGTAAGATAGTCTGGGTTATGCAATCATTTAACTTACATGATCACGACTTAAATATTTATCATCTTGTAGCGTCGCTGCACTACATACTGTAACCAAAACCTTTCCTCAGTGACAAGAACAGGAATATCACACACCAGAAATAATAGGAGTCAGAACTGCGTAGGAATGACTGATTCAGTCTTCACAATAGCTGTGAAAAGGGCGTGTAGTCGTCTTCAGGACCGGAGTCTTAAGAAGGTTAAGTTTCCTAGGCCACCAACCAGGAGTCAAAGCCCAAGGTGCTGCCCTCAAGACCACTTCCCGACCGACAGAGGAGTAACAGGCACAGCACAGGACTCAGCTGAGCGCACGTCTCCCATATTAATATCATCAGTGCAATCAATACTTAGATGCCTACTGGGTGGAAGACATAAACTGGTGAACAGGTCAGAAACACCAATTTTTAAAGCTGTCCATTCGTTAATTATTTCTCATGTCTGCAGTGAACGGCAGCTGCTGTTTACTGGAAACCCGGAATGTCGGACTGGAATCCCGACAGCCCAATCTACTAGCTATAGGCTCTTCTCAATAGGTATATTCTACGTTTCTGTGCCTCAGGATTTGTTTGGGGTTTGTTTTTTTTTTAATTTCATAAAACAGTGCTACCTACTACAAACAGCTTTATGAGGATTAGATGGCACATATAAAATTTAGAACAAGGCCAGGCACATAAGTACTGCATAAACGTTAGGTATTTTAATCAATGTCGCCTTTAATCGTCACAATTCCACAGCAAAGTACGCTTCCCGTAATTCTTACTTTGAAAGCGAAAAAGGTCAGGCTAAAAGAGGTTCACACTTTGACATAAGGCCGCGTAAATTTTGGTGGAAGAGCCGAAAGGCAGCCCAGGTCTCTCCCTCTCTAGGACCGCCCTGTCTGTGCCAACATTGCTCTTCATTCGGCGGGACCGTCACCAGCATCAGGGGCTGGAGTCCTGCAGACCTGAAGCTCCCAACCCAAGGCTGGAGAGTGAGGTGGCAGGACCCAGCGTCGGCACTCCCAGCGCCGTGCCTGCTACTAAACCACGCCGACCCCAGCGAGGGCTCCAAGCGCTGCGAAACACCTGACAACGAAATGAAGAGGGGGCCCACCGGGGGCGCAGTGGGTGCCTGCCATCAACAAGTTCCCCGCCCCGCGCGGCAAGCCGGGAGCTCACCGAGGGCGGCGGCGGCCAGGACCGGGTTGTGCGCGCTGACCAGGCCCACGAGGGCGGTCACCAGATGGTCCAGAAAGGGCGAGGCGAGGGTCTCCCGCTCCCGGTAGAGGGGCGCGCGCCCCTTGCGCCGCAGGTAGAAGTGCTCCTGCAGGAGGCAGTCGCACGCGGCGGCGCGCAGAGTCGCCAGGTCCGGGACGGGCGCGGGGACGGGCGCTGGGGGAGGTGGCGGCAGGCCCGACAGGAACACGGTCTTGGTGAAGCCCTGGTACCAGCGGTCGGCGTTCAGCGCGAAGGTCTGCGGGTAAACCACGTACTTCATGAACTGCATCTTGGTGAGGATTCGTATCTTCTCGTCCGCGGACTGGGCCGCGTGCACCTTTGCCTGCCACCGCTCCACTCGCCGCTGTCGTGCCGCCTTGCTTTTGGCAGTCAGGGAGGCCACAATTGGCGGGTAGCGCGCGACTGGCGCCGCGGCGACATCTGGAACGATGACCTCTGGAGCCCCGGCGGCAGTCTCGGCCGCGGCGTGCAGCGACCGTCCTGGACCGCGGGGCACGAACCGCCACCACCTGGACGCCGCCATCTTTGGCCGGGGTTCCGGGCCGAAGGTCAATTTCCGCAATTGTTCCGGCTCGCCGCCCGAAGGACCAATCGGAAAGCGAAATGTGAGCCAGTCGTCAAGAGACCAGCTCTCAGTGGGCCTAAGAAACCTGCGTCATCCATGTCTTAGCCAATCGAATCGCTTCTCCAACTTAGTTGCTTGTGAGCTGGAGCGCCTGGAGCAGAGAGGCAGAACTCCTGGGCCAGTAGATTTTCCGCGGGCTCGTGGGAATGAAAGCTACAAGAACTTGTCGCCTGGGTGGTTTCAAGGACTCAGGCTGCCTTCTTGCCGGAAGTCATTTAGGAACATTCCGCACAGAAGCCGTTAGCGCTTGGTTAACGTTCCTGGTCTCAATTTTGTATGGCTGCTTATGTAAGGCTAGCCGTTTCTTTTCGGTTTTAGTTCTTGGGGTTGAAAATATTCTTCCAGCATGAGTTTTGATGATATACGCTTATTTTTAAAATGATGCAGGCGTCGCTCATGACCACTGCAAATCTTTGGGAAAATAATTTCACATAGCTCTACGCTAATTGATGCATAATTTGTTTAAATGATAGCATCTATAAAAAGAGGAATATACTTGGATTTAACTGAAGAAAGGAAATAACGAAAGAATTGTGTTTAAATTTGCTGTTAAAATACATTATTCAACATGAGTTAATCACTAATCTGTGAGCAACTTAAATCAACTTAAATACCTGTGCAGTAATTCTTGAAAGTATATCTTTATGCATATTATATTTGTGTATATTTTAATAAGTGGCATTTTGATGCCATACTAGACTGTGTTATTTTCGGTTAAAAAGATTTAACCCAGAAGGAAAACACGGAAAGAATATCATTTTGATACAGCAGCTGTCTGTCCAAAAACCTGTTCCCCATCTCTGGTTGCCAGGACCCGCTGTACTGATCACAACTCAGCACTCAGGTTAAGAAGACAGGAATTTCCTGCGACTGTCAGATAGCCAGCGCTGGCCACCTGCAAGGGATGACCACTTTTCCTTTAGTGCTTCAGTGTGACACAAAACTCCAAATCCTGAAATCTTCTCATTCCTTTTCCCTAGGATTGACATTCTTTGGGAAATTCCTTGCTTTTCTGTCTCTGGAAATTCTAGGCAAAATCCAAATGTCTCTAGAATTGAAGGGCAGACATCTCTGAAATTGAAGTAGCTTTACCACCAACTACTGGAATTAGTAATGGCTATTTTAAAGATAGTTACATAAATAACAAAATTATCTCAAATCATAAATAAAAATTATAGAAACTTATGCCAGTTTTCAATGTAGTACCAAGCTCTTCTCCATAAGTATGAATTGATAGGTGCTTTTAATCTATTTTTGTATAAACCACATCTATGCTATATCATTTATAATTTTCTACTTTTGCTTTATTTAATGTGGAGCTAGAACACATATTTACAAAGCAGCCTGAATATAGAACCTTTCTTGGCTTTTATGTTTCCTTTTCCTTCTTCCCTCATATTTAACCACTGTCTCAGATGCTTCTAATTCAATAGAACTATTTTGGGGCAACTTGCACTTAGCAGTCTCTTTTTTTTTTTAAGTCTAGTTTTTGTCATTTAAATCTTAATTTTACCTCTATTCATACTCATCCTTTATCATCTTAAGCAATTTTAGTTAACATAGCTACAACAGCAAATAAAACTAGTATGAACAGGTCTGGGAAGAAATTGATAAGCACATCTGGGCACTGGAAACAGGTGCTTTGAGGTCTAAGTGACGCTGTATGTCTTACAGAATAACAAAATGTGAGTTAATCTTGCAGTTAAATGGAGGAAATGGCTTTCTATTTTAAATACTTGTCTTATCTATTAAGATCAGAGATGACAGTTGCAAGATTCCGGAATCGTGTCTTGCTGATTTGGGGAAAGAGGTCCATGTGTGGTGTGGTGGTTAAGAGCAGGAACTCCGGAGTCAGGTTGGTTGTATTTCCAGAACCACCACTTTAATGAGTACGTGACTTTGATGAAGTTCCTTAAACCCTCCAAGCCTCATCCTCCTTATCTGTAAGATGGAAATTATTATCATCTGTTCTGATTTCTCAAAGGGTTGCTATAAGATAAAAATCGAATAAGATGTACTTTAAACATTATGTCTTTGTTAATATTTTTATAAGGACAAGGAGGAGGTACATTATTACCACTGGAAACTAATTAGTTCTTGATACAGCAGTTTCATTTTTAAAATACCCACTGTTGGAAGAGTATGTGAAGTTTGATTTGTGTGAGCACCCCTATAACACTTGGCTTCTATCTTGAACAGTTGTTATTAAGTGAATTATGAAGAATTCACCAACTGCCAGAATGCCAGTATTTATTGTTGAAGTACTCCATTCATTTATGTTCTCATCGAAAATTTATGGAATGTTTGCTGTATGTTAAACATCAGGCAGAGAAATAAATGAATATGATTTGTCCTTATCCTTGAAGAACTCAAATCACTGGGAAACAAGTTCATAAAGAAATAATTGGAAACAACATAGTAGGCATGTATTACCTTAGGAATACATATAAAATAGTGTTTTTAATTATACTTGAGATTAATATTCTCAGAGCTTCATATCTATTCAATTTTGATTCCTTGGAAGAACGTGGATTGATTGTAGCAAATACTCTTGGACCCCAAGGATCATTCCTCTCTCCTTACTAACTGGAAGAGCGTTAATTATGTTCAGGGATTTACCCTTCAACACAATCTGCAAAGATGACACTTCCCGCAGTCCCTGGGGGTGGATCATGATGAGCCTGAGCCAACTGTAGCAATTCTAGCCACTGATGGCTCAGAAATAGGCCTGTGACCCAATCCTGCTTGATGAAGGCTGAAGGGGAATTTTCTGTGGGGCTTCAGGAAAAGTTGTGTTTTGTTTGTTTGTTTTTTAAATAAAAGGAGACACCATCTTCTCCAAAAGTTATAGTTATTGTGTCTCCATATGATGCTGGAAATTGCTTTAGCCATTTGCAGCCATCAGTGGAGACATCACAGAAATGACAAGGGTGACAGAATGGAAAGATGGCCCTGGATCTTTGATATTTGCATGTTGTTGAATTAACATGTAATAAAGGGTGAATTGACCAGGCTTGGAGTGTTCAGGCCCTGAATATTCCGAAGAAAAGGACTGGCCCTGGGGGTACCTGGGACATAACCTTTAAGCGGGTGGAATAGCCTGCTGGAGAAATGTGTTTTTTGTGTAGCTGGGGTCTTGGGCCGTGCAGTATCTGCTTGACCTCTGGAGACGCTAGAGACTGAGCAACTAAGGTTACTCAGCCCTAGACCGCAAGGCTCGGGGCGCTCCCCTGGTTGGCAGCACCTCATCACATGTTGCTGGGAGGACCAAGCATCATCGGATGGCTTCGTTGGGAGAGAGCAGAAAGCTTGCACCTGTGTTCTCCTGGACTCTACTGCGTGGACCCTGTCCTTTACAGATATTAATCTCTGTCTTTTTACTATTAAAACAAACAAACCAACCATAACCATGAGTATAACAGCTTTTTCAGTTATTTGAGCCTTGGGATGCCCAAGACTACAGCCCTGGAAACATTCGCCTCCACGTTACTTATCGCAGCAAGAGGTGGGGTCAGGGAGACTTGGCAGGCATTTCAAACTGTCAACATGACTTTCTATCAAGCTAACCCTAGTGTCTTCTCACATGAACTGTGCCTAAGTTACAGCCCCTGCTCTGTGGTTACTATCATTGAAACGCAAAGTCAACACTTCACATTTACCCCATTTAATGTCATTTTATTCAAGTCAGATAACTATCTTTTTGAGATCTTTTTTAGGTCCGGATTCTGTTACCAGAATTTTTGCTATTACTCCTTCCTCACTATTTGCCAAAGTACATGAAATGTCACCATTCCCGATCATAGCTTTATACGTCTCCCATGAGACACATTCCATGAGAGCAGGGATCTTGTGTGTCTTGTCCAAAGCTATCTCCCTAGCACTAGGATAGACGATTGGATAAAGATGAGGTATATATACACAACAGAATTTACTCGGGCATAAGAAAAGAATGAAATCTTACTGTTTGTGACACAGGGAGGGCCTAGAGGTATTAGGCTAAGTGAAATAGTCAAAGACAAATATGATTTCACTTAATATGTGGAATCTAAAGAATAAAAAAGGAACAAAGAGAAACAGACTCATCGATACAGAGGTTGCCAGATGGGAGGGTTGGGTGACTGGCTGGAATGGGTGAAGAGAAGAAGTACAAATTGGCAGTTACAAAACAGTCGTGGGGATGTGAAGTACAGCATAGGAAATACAGTCAATACTATTGTAATAACTTTATGCTGCTAGGTAGGTACTAGACTTACAGGGGAATCACCTGGTAAATTATATAAATGTCTAACCACTATCCTGTACACCAGAACCTAATAAAAACTAATATTGAATGTCAACTGTCGTTGAAAATTTTTAAAAATCTGGAAAAAAAAGAAAAAGAATACATACTTCTGTAGTAAATGAGAAGAGACATTTATCTCTAGGTGAATTCTTTTTAAACATGTACATAAACCCTAATAATAATAATATAATTATTATTATATTAGCCTTCAATGTTCATGTGCCATACAGGTTATCTAGGAGACGACCTAGGAACAGAATGTATTTAAGACGTTTTGGTGGTAGTGAGGTAAGAAAGATGGAAGTTGTTGGAAGCATGAGAAACCCTGGAGGAAAGGTCTGGTTGGAGAACCTAGTAGAAAGTGCTCATTTCTGTTGGCGGGGCGGGGGGTGGCCACATCACTGGGCTGGGGAGGAGGCAGGGCTGGGCCTGCACACTGAGCCAGGGGTAAGCGAGTGTTTCACTCGCCTCCAGTACAAAGCTGAAGGGGTGCCGCAAAAACTCAGTAATCAACATAAGTGAAGTTTTAACGAGACATCTTAGAAGTCAATATTAATACAAGAAAGTCCATAGTGAACCACGTATCAAAGTTAGATAAAGACAGGGTCAGCAGAAGCACAGATCTACTCACAGTCTACTCA